ATTGCCAAAGCCATAACCTTCATCAGACAAGTACTCATCATTGCCAGAGGCTTCATCAAATTCTGCATCCACCCACCGGAAAATCACATCCTTGTCTCAAATTCCGTCGTATTTTGCACCGAGCTGTACAAGACATTGAGGCCATCACTCAAGAGTATCATCTACAAGCAGGAACAAAGCAGTCTGCCTCCCTTCATGTTTTACCAATACCTACTCATCAACTTATCACCATGCCTGATTCTTCCCACACTGCTTCACACTCCAAGGAAATAATGGTTGGAAAACATGATGAGTTCGAGCTTATAAAGGAGAAGCTAATCCAACATCCATCTAAGCAGCTACAAGTTGTCTCAATTAAAGGTATGGCAGGTATTGGTAAGACAACATTAGCAAAGAAAATTTATGAACATCCATCAATCACTTCCTACTTTGATAAGCGAGCATGGACTGTCGCATCACAACATCACAGTACGAAGCAAATGCTCTTAGATCTTCTTGGTTCCAAAGACGATGCAGACAAAAGCAGTGATAAGGACCTAGCATTACGACTCTACCAACGTTTCAAACATCAAAGGTACTTGGTTGTGATGGATGACGTATGGAGTGTAGAGGCATGGGATGCTCTCCAAATTGCTTTCCCGATGATGGATATGGTAGTCGAGTATTATTGACTACTCGCCTTGTTAAGGTGGCTAATCATATCTACACCCAAAATGACTTTTCTCATCAAATGCAATTCTTAGAACAAAGTGAGAGTTGGAAACTATTTAATGAAAAGGCATGTAAATCTCGCGGTGCTGAATTTGAAAGGATTGGGAGACCGGTAGTTGAAAAATGCAAAGGACTGCCTTTGGCAATTATTGTGGTTGCAGGCCTTTTTAACAAACTCAACACTTTAGATGAGTGGAAGAATACTGCCAATGCTCTAAGTTCTTCTTCTGCAACTACTCTAGCTGATGAAGAATGTTCGAGAATACTCTCGTTGGGTTATAATCATTTACCCCACAACTTGAAAGCTTGTTTCTTATATTTGGGAGTTTTTCCAGAAGATCACGAGATCAATGCTAATCAACTTGCAAAGTTATGGCTTGCGGAAGGACTCGTAAAGGCATCTGAGAATGAAAGCTTTGATGCAGTGGCTAATAGGTACATGAAAGAACTTATGGATAGAAACCTGATAATTTTATGCAAGCTATCCTCTCGTGGAAGAAAAATTAAGAGGTTTAGGATGCATGATTTATTGCATGCCTTTTGTATGAGAGAAGCTCAAAACGAGAGCCTTTTGCATGTTGTCCAGAGTAATAGTAGTTCTTATTTTCCTCAGAAAGGTTTCCGCTGGGTAAGCATCCAATATGAATATTTTAACATGTCTACAATAGAGCATTATACTTTGAAAAGCTATAGATCATTCTTCTGTTTTTTTAGGCGGGAATCATTTTTAGATTTTATAAATGGAAATCTATTGAGAGTACTCTTCTTCTATGATACAATTGGCTCGCACAAAAATATTGTGAATACTGTCCATTTGAGATTCTTAAGAGTTGGAAATGGTGTAGAACTGTCCAGGGCTCAGGGATTCCTAAAGTCAAGATGGAGAGAGAGTGCAGAATATTTAAGGTCTTGGAATGTAGAATTGTCAAGGTCTTGGAATCTTCAAACACTTGATTGTTATGGAAGAGTATCATATAGATTAGATGAAGCAGAGAAGTATTCGGAGTTTCCACAACTACACTATATTCGTTGTGCAAACTGGTTTTGTGGAAATCCTCCCAATTTTGTTCAAAAACTTAATAGGATCAAAGCTGATGATTGCTCAAAAGAATACATTACCAATATTCCATGCTTGAAGAAGGTACATATTGTATATCTAGGCGACAAGGGTAATGCTTTCATTGCGAACTTAGCCTATTTAGAGCAACTCGAGAGACTTTGGATTTCAGGTAGACCTGAAACACAGATTCCAATTATTAATGATATTGTTCGGTTGAAAAACCTTACAAAGTTGGAATTAAGTTATATGCAATTTGAGTGGGAGAAAATTAATATTCTTAGCAAGTTGCCTAGGCTTGAGGTGCTCCAGTTACTATGGGAATCCTGCACAGGCAAAGAGTGGGAAATACAAGAGGAAGTGATATTTTACCAGTTAATCGCTTTAGGTATTTATCATCAGCATGATCTGAAGCATTGGAAAGCTAGTAGTCATAATTTCCCAAAACTTGAGCACCTATATATTAGGTATTGCCGTGAATTGAGAGAGATCCCAATTGACTTTGCTGTTTAACATTGAAGTCAATCGAATTACGGAGATGTCTTCCTTTTGCTGTGAAATCAGCCAAGAAAATTCAGGACGAGCAATGTGAGTATGGAAACAACGATATGGTTGTTATTGAGGAAGAAACATTAAATGTATGTGACCCTTTCTCTTTCTAAATTGTATTTTTTCAACTTGATCCAAGCAGATTTAATTGAATTCAGTGACTCATGACAGGTTTTGGAATCTGAGGAAGGCCTGAGCGAAGAACAGCCAGAAGTGGATAACTGATAATTGATCTGATACCTTCCTTGTATTCACTTTTAGGCAGAAGACAACAATGGTATGTTTTCAAGAACACAGAATTGTAATTACATACATACATACAGGACTGTATTTGCAGTTTGATTCCATGCATTTGTCACAGGACAGGCAACAACATATATTATTTTATACAAGAAGAAGATGTTTTAATTACATAGATTATTTTCAGTGTTGGTGTTGGTGTGCATAGAGAGAGCCAATGTGTAATGCTAGTTTTCACTTGCTAGTCCAGTTCAGTACAGTACAGGGACTTGTCATGCTTCTTCTACTATACACTTCATACTATATTATCACGGCTGCTGTGGCTATACATCTCTGCTCCTACAACCTAGCTAATTCCACAAATTGAATTAAATTAAATAGAAATGAAATTGGTTATTGATGTAGTATATTATATTCCCAATTGAAATGACTTCAGGTAATATTTGGAAGCTTTCAATGTGTTGGCTCAAAGGCAAAGATCAGAGCTGAACAAAGCTGATGGGCAAACTCATTGAAGAATCCAATGCTTGCAAGAATTGATGGATAATGAATATATGCTATCTATTTCTTGGAGTTTAGTTGATGGAATCATATATATCAGACAATCACAAAACTCTGGGCGGGGAGTGCTCAAACTTCATGTCTTGTATTTTAGTACTGAATTGGAAGCTTAAAATTTTATAAACTCTTGTAGCTTAGATTTGCAATATATGTGTGTGTGTGTTAATGATTTGCACAATCTTATGTTATATATTTCATTAAATACTTTGTTGATGGCATGATTAGGCAAATATTGTTACCGAGTATTGCTTTGTCAATTTCTCTTAAATTTCTTTCCCAGTTGGAAAAGAAAACATTTACATCATATTTTGCTTTCTTTCTCATGTTCTATATGATAATAAGGAAGTCGAAGCTTGTGTTCATTACATAATTTCTGTAAAACAATTTTCCTTCCTTTTGGATTGTGGCATTCAGTTGTCAAAGGGTCTATTTGTGAAGATACAATTAATGGTCTAGCAAAAGCCTCCGTTCACATACATTAACTTTGTAAACACTAGATGATTCTTTCTCAAGTTTTCTTAAAAATTCTTCAATTCCTGGGGGGTCTTGTCCTTCACAGGCCGGCCAGGGGCAGTTTGAAATATTCTCTCTATCAGCCTCCTGCTTGTTGAGTAATAGCAGCAGCTAGCGTTTGTGTTGCTAGTATAGTCCAGATGGTGGTGGAGTTGTCTGCATATTTTGCCTTTTTAATGCTTCAACAGTTCCTTGTCTGCATATTTTGCCTAAACGAAATCCATCATTCAATTTCTGTCTTTTATGATTCTGAAGTGGGGCTTATTAACAACTTTGATTGCATTTGTTAGGTGGACGGATGTCTCGTTCTGCTGGAAGTGGCTTCACTCCACACAACATATATACATCACTGTGGTGGCAGGAGAAGTATGTAATCTACTTTTTGGTCTCTATTTATAATTGACTCATTATTTAACTTGAAAATGAAAATCTATTGATTTTGGTTTAGGAAATTGAACAGGTATTCTATTATTTAATTGCCAGGAAACAACAAATTTACTTTCTTTCTGTCATTAGTTTCAGCTAATTGCTGAGAATTGAAACAAATTTACATTCTCTCCTTGTAGGTTTTGACTGACATCTGTATATGCAGAACTGAGATTCATGTTCATCCATTCTGGATTGCGAGTGTGGTCTCAAATTCCAAGTGCATTATATTTTAAATCACCGTGATCTTCATATCTGAAGCTAATAACTTTGCTAATTCGGGTGTTGTGACAATCAGATCATCTTTGGTACAAGAAGGGTAGATTCTTGATTAGTTTTTTCTCTTGAGGTTTGCCAACTCATTGAATTAGATTCTGCATTCTCTATTAGTTGAAGCCTGTAACTGTCTTCTAAGTTCTAAACTTGAACTTTTTGAGACATGATACATATAATGTTAGGTTGGTCTGAACTCTCAAGTAGTGTTAACCATATATTCCTTGTACCACAATATAATGTCTTGCAAATCTTGAAGATAATATACTGTACTAGTAATCTAGTATTCTCATCTCATGAGATGAAACTAATTGAGTCGAAACTTTGTCAGACCATTTGATTGGTCCATCTCTATTTGATTGATTGGAAAAAAACAAAAAAACAAAAAAAAAAATTGCAGGCCCTGCATACTTTTGAATTATTGCATAATGGAAACTTTAGACCTACTGTAAAGCAAAAGGTTAAAAAAAGCTGTCGGCAAGGAAGGAATTATTGCACTCAGATGAGATAAGTGGCATTAATTACCCAATAATTCATCGATCTTCAACTTGTTTCTGCTAACCTTCAATTCATTCAAACAAACTCAGAAAAACAACTCATCACTTACATTACACCTACTATACACCAGCACAGAGCTAGAGAGAGAGAGAGAGAGATCAGAGAGAATATAATGGCTTGTGTGGCTGTACTTTCTCTTATGAGGACAATGGAGCTTGAGTTCTTGCAGCCTCACCCTCGTCCAATTCTACAACAAAATGAACTGCTCATCCCTCCCAACATAGAGTTGATCCAATCTCTTATTGAGTTATTTGATGAGAATAGGACTGATGGTGTGGAGGCAATTAAAAACTTGGAAACCAGACTCAGAGATGTAGCTTTCAGAACTGAAGATGAAATTGAACTCCAAGTAGTACATCTTTATGAGGAAGAGGAAAGGGATACTCGTGGATGCTCAATGCTTTGCCAAATTGTTCATCTGGCAAAAACTTTGCCTTCTCTCAGACTTCGTCATATACTGCAACAAGCAATAGAAGACATTGATGCCATCAAAGAAGAGCTGGTGAAAGTGAAGGAGGAGTATCAGTTTTCCAAAGATCTACACGGAAGAAATGTTGCCCTTCATGTTTTACCAAAGCCTGATGATGAAGTTATCACGATGGCTCATTCTTCCCACCGTGCTTCGCACTCCAAGGAAATAATGGTTGGAAAACAGGATGAGTTTGAGATTATAATGGAGAAGCTAATCCAACATCAATCCAAGCAGCAAGAAGTTGTCTCAATTAAAGGTATGTGGGAGGTATTGGTAAGACAATGTTAGCAAAGAAAATTTATCAAGATCCATTAATCACTTCCTACTTTGATAAACGAGCATGGACTGTCGCATCACAACATCACAGTAAGAGGTAAATGATCTTAGATCTTCTTGGTTTCAAAGACGATGCAGACAAAAGCAGTGATGGGGACCTAGCATTACTACTCTACCAAAGTTTCAAGAAGTGTCAAAGGTACTTGGTTGTGATGGATGACGTATGGAGCATAGAGGCATGGTATGCTTTCAAAACTTGCTTTCCCGATGATGGAAATGGTAGTCTAGTATTGTTGACAACTCGCCTTGCAGAGGTGGCTAATCATACCTGCTCCAAAGATGACTTTTCTCATCAAATGCAATTGTTAGAACAAAGTGAGAGTTGGGAACTATTTAATGAAAAGGCACGTAAATCTCGCGGTGCTGAATTTGAAACGATTGGGAGACCAGTAGTTGAAAAATGCAAAGGACTGTCTTTGACAATTATTGTGGTTGCAGGCCTTTTTTCCAAACTCAACAATCTAGATGAGTGGAAGAATACTGCCAATGCTCTAAATTCTTCTTCTGCAACTACTCTAGATGATGAAGAATGTTCAAGAATATTCTTATTGAGTTACAGTCATTTGCCCCACAACTTGAAAGCTTGTTTTTTATACTTGGGAATTTTTCCAGAAGATCACGAGATCAATGCTAATCAACTGGCAAGGTTATGGCTTGTCGAAGGACTCGTAAAGGCATTTGAGAATGAAAACTTTGATGGAGTGGCTAAAAGGTACATTCAAGAACTTATGGATAGAAACCTGATAATTTTAAACAAGCTAAGCTGTTGTGGAAGAAAAGTGAAGAGGTTTAGGATGCATGATTTATTGCATGCCTTTTGTGTGAAAGAAGCTCAAAACGAGAACCTTTTGCATGTTGTTCAGAGTGAAAATAGTTCTTATTATCCTCAGAAAGGTTTTCTCTGGTAAGCATCCAATCTGTGAACTTTAACATGTCTACAGTATGTTCTCAATCAAAAAGCTGCAGGTCGTTCCTCTATTTTCTGCGGGACGATAAATCTTTCAATGTCGAAAATTTCAATCTATTGAGAGTATTCTACTATTGCAGTGGAATTGTGACACTCAAGAAGATTGTGGATATTCTCCATTTGAAATTCCTAAAATATAGAAATTAGGGAAAATTGTAAAAAATGCCCCTCTATAATATGTCAATTATCAATGTCACACCTGAATTATGAGTGGTGTAAATGTTGCCCCTCAATTATCAAAATGGTGCACATATAGCCCCTCCTGTAACGGACCTGTGGTTCCCCACCGCTGTACTTCGAATCGAGGGAGAGAAAAAACAGCTAAATTACATATTTACTCCGACTTAACGGTGTCGTACACTAACGGGGAACCACATGTTCGTTACGGGAGGGGCTATATGTGCACCGTTTTGATAATTGAGGGGCAACATTTACACCACTCATAATTCAGGTGTGACATTGATAAATGACATATTATAGAGGGGCATTTTTTACAATTTTCCCTATAAATTATATAGAACTATCCAAGGCTCGGGGATTCTTGAAGTCAAGGTGTAGAAAGAATATAGAACTATCCAGATCTTGGAATCTTCAAACACTTGATTGTAATAGAGGATCATATAGATCAAATGATGGAGGGAACTATTCGGAGTTTCCACAACTACACTATATTCTTTTTTGCGGCTGTTTTCATGGACATCCTCCCAGTTTTGTTCATAAACTTTATGGGATATGAGTTGATGATTGCTCACAAGAATACATTAAGAATATTCCATTCTTAAAAAAAGGTAGGCCTTTTTAGTATGGGCAAAGACAATTACAATGGTTGCATTACGAACCTTGCCTCTTCAGAGCAGCTTGAGGGACTTTGTTTTGATGGTAATGGGTGGTACATACATACTCCAATTGTTGGGAAAATCCCACTCCCTGCGACAATGAAAAATCACAGAACTGACAGGAGCACAAACACAAGATGATACACAATAGTCCAAAAATAAATATCAAACACAAGAACACACGATTTACGTGGAAAACCCCAAATCGGGGAAAAAACCACGGGACCACCACCAACCAATAATCCACTATAATAAATCTTGGGTACAAAGTTTCAGGCTACCACACGAGCCAAACATCCACAAATCATCAAATACAATAACTCTAGGCCAAAGACTTCTATTATATTCCACAGGCCTAAACAGAATACCAACTCGTACTTAAAATATTCAACCACCACAAGCAAGATGAAAAGAATACAAATAGTACGAGAATACCCAAAAGATGCCTGGAATAAATAAGCTGACCTCCAAAATATTTGATGAATAAATCACCCAAGAACCTAGCTCTTCTTCTCTCTCTTTGCCGAATTGGAGCAAAAAAAAAGGTTTCGCTGCTTGGAACTTCTCTGCCCAACTGCCGTAACATATATATAATTTTGGAGGAAAGAATCAAAAGAAGGAAAATTGTTTCCTTAGCAAAAAAAGGAAGATTGGATTCCCTTTCACAATTAGGTAAGAATTGAAGATTCTGCCATCTCCCTAAATTATATAATAATAATTATTATAATTAGGGCTCAAGATGAGTGGAGTTCCAACAAAAAATATAGTGGATACAAATTGGCTTGGTCCAAACATGAGCTATTTACCACATAGGAGGGAAGCCCAACCCAACAAATCTCCCCCTCCCGACTATGTGGAAGATATCGCCATCCCGGCGATAGAGCAACAATCCTCAAACTTCCCTCTTGGCAATGCTTTAGTCATCATGTCAGACCCATTATCATCAGTATGAATCTTTTCAAGTTCAAGCATCTTGCACTCCAAGATATCTCTAATCCAATGATATCTCGTGTCAATATGTTTTGACCTGTAATGGAACGTGGAGTTCTTTGCAAGATGAACTGCACTTTGACTATCACAATAGAGCACATACCTGTCTTGAACAAACCCGAGCTCCTGAACAAACTTCTTCATCCATAGCATTTCTTTACTGGCCTCAACGGATGCTATGAACTCAGCTTCAGTGGTAGACAAAGCAACACACTTTTGCAATCTTGATTGCCATGAAACTGCTCCCCCTGCATAGGTAATTAGATAACCTGAAGTAGATTTCCTGGTGTCAATGTCCCCGGCCATATCTGAATCAGTGTACCCGACAAGAATAGGTTTCTCTGTACCAAAACACAAACTCAGACTTGAAGTACCCCGAAGATATCTCAGAACCCACTTCACAGCATCCCAATGTTCTCTCCCTGGATTTGAGAGAAATCTGCTAACAACACCCACTGCATGAGCAATATCTGGTCTCGTACATACCATGGCATACATCAAACTACCAACAACTGAAGAATAGGGAACTCTTTGCATTTCTTCATTCTCTTTCTCACTAGAGACACATTGCTTCTTACTTAACTTGAAATGCATACCAAGAGGTGTATTCACTGGCTTAGCTTTATCCATATTAAATCTCTCAAGTACTTTCTCTATATACTTCTCTTGAGATAACCACAACTTCTTGTTCTGCCTGTCACGAATGATCTTCATCCCAAGAATTTGCTTTGCTGGTCCCATGTCCTTCATAGAGAAGGATTTACTCAACTCTTGTTTCAACTGTTGAATTCTTGAAACATTGCGACCAACAATCAACATATCATCAACATAAAGCAACAATATAACAAAGTCATCATCAGATAATCTGTTTACAAAAACACAGTGGTCTGAAGAAGTCTTCTTGTACCCATGCTTACTCATAACGGAAGTAAACTTTTTATACCACTGCCTCGGAGCTTGCTTCAATCCATACAAACTCTTCTTTAATCTGCAAACATAATCCTCTTTCCCTTTGACTTCGAATCCCTCAGGTTGCTCCATATATATCTCCTCATCTAAATCACCATGGAGAAAAGCTGTCTTTACATCCATCTGCTCAATTTCTAAATCCAAACGAGCTGCTAGACCCAACACAACTCTAATGGATGAAAATTTCACAACAGGAGAGAAAATTTCATCAAAATCAATACCTTTCTTCTGGCTAAAACCTTTCACCACCAGTCGAGCTTTGAATCGTGGAACTGAAGTGCCCTCTTCATGTTTCAATCTGTAGACCCACCTGTTCTTCAAAGCTGTCCTGTTCTTTGGTGCCCTTACCAACTCAAAGGTATCATTTGCATATAGGGAATTCATCTCATCCTGCATAGCCTCAAGCCATTGTCTCTTTTGCTCGCTCTCCATAGCTTCTTCATAGAACTCAGGTTCTCCCCCATCAGTTAATAGCACATACTGACTGGAAGAGTAACGAGTAGATGGTCTCCGTTCCCTGTTAGACCTTCTAGGAGGATCAACTGGAACCTGCGAAGGAACTTCTTGTTCCTGGTGCACAACATCATCAACATGACCATCCACATCAGCTGTATCATCCTGATTGTCTGGTACAATATCACCGTTCTGGCCATTCTCTTGAACCTCATCAACATCATGTGTATCTTCGCTGGAAACTGGCTCACAGTCAACCAAACTTCCGCTGTCTTGAGATTCTGGCTTTCTCACTTTGTCAACACCTTCAATAGTTTGATCTTCAAAGAACACTACATCACGACTTCTCACAAGTTTCTTCTCAACTGGATCATACAGCTTGTAGCCAAATTCATCAAGACCATAACCAATGAAAATGCAATGTCTAGTCTTCGAGTCCAACTTAGATCTTTCATCTCTTGGGACATGCACAAATGCCTTACAACCGAAGACTCTGAGGTGATCATAAGAAACTTCCTTTCCACACCAAACCTTATCAGGAACTTCATTATTCAAAGCAATAATGGGAGATAAGTTGATAACATGAACAGCTGTGGAAACTGCCTCTGCCCAAAAAGAACTAGGCAACTTTGCGTCATCAAGCATACATCTGACTCTCTCCATAATTGTCCGATTCATCCTCTCTGCTAAGCCATTTAATTGAGGAGTTTTAGGAGGAGTTTTTTGATGTCTAATACCGTGCATTCTGCAATACTCATCAAATGGGCCACGGTACTCACCGCCATTATCAGTCCGGATGCACTTCAATTTCTTCCCTGTCTGTCTCTCAACAAGGGCATGAAACTCTTTAAACACACCAAACACATCACTTTTGTGCTTCAAAGTGTAAACCCAGAGTTTCCTAGAATAATCATCAATGAAGGTCACAAAGTAAGATGCACCTCCAAGTGATCTAACCTTCATTGGTCCACATACATCAGAATGTATCAACTCAAGTGGCTCCGGCTTCTTCGAAGGAGAGTTGCTCATAAAAGAAACTCTTTTCTGTTTCCCTGCCAGGCAATGAACACATCTGTCCAATCTAGCTTCCTTTACTCCTGAACGCTTCTTCTTCTTGGCAAGGTAATCAATCCCTTTCACACTCATGTGGCCAAGTCGTTTATATGCCACAATTCTGATGCACATTCTTTTGCTGCAACATTCACTGAATCACCAGAAATAGAGCTTTGTAAAGAGTACATGTTAGAAGACTTGTTACCTCGTGCAATAACCAGCGAGCCTTTAGTGATTTTCCAATGTCCATCACCAAAGAAACAACAGAAACCATCATCATCGAGTTTTCCTGTAGAAATTGTTAGAATATACACACAATTCGAACACATGTGATAACCTAACCTCATAGCGGAAGCATAATGATCTAGCAAAACTCCAGCCATAGTTGATACTTTGTTGCATTGCATTGTTGCTTCAAGAACTCCAATAGATTAAAGTTTTGTTGTCTACCATTAATCTCCTGTATGAACTAGATGGTGTAGTTGTAAAGCTGCAACAGGAGCAATGGGAGGACCATGCTTAAATAGCCTACATGCCATCATTATAGGCTAAGTAACGGAAACCGTTACTTCATTTTCAAACCACAACATAATGGCCATAATTGGCCTATTAAACTTGCACCACTTAATAGTGTAATTAT